TGGATATTAATTCATCGATAACTTTTCAAGAAAAATTCCATTTTAAATCTATTAACCATTTTGAATTCCTGATGTTGAGATCTTCAAAAGAAGATCAAATTTGAATATATTTTAAATGGGTTTAAAATTCATGACACATATTTCATCATTTCTTACAAAATGATTTCACTTATTTTAAATAACATACTTCAATTAGTTCACTCAATTAAAACAAATAATTTCATTCATTTAAAAAAGAATGATTACCCATTTCGAACAACATACTTTTACTCAATTTAGAAATAGATTCCACCCATTTTAGTAAATTCAAACAAATATTTTCAATCATTGAAAAAATGATTTCACCCATTTAAAACAACATATTTCACTCGTTTCAAGAAACAGATTTCACTCGTTTCAAAAACAGATTTCAATCATTTCATTGAATTCACTCAATTCACAAAATAATTTCAGTACTTCTAAAAAATGTTTCACTCATTTAAAACAACATATTTCACTGGTTTCAGAAAATAGATTCCATACATTTCACTCAGTTCAAACTAATAATTTCAATTATTTCCAAAAAGAATGATTTCACTCATTTAAAACAACATATTTAATTAGTTTATTTCACTTGTTTAATTCATTTCAAACAAATAATTTCAAACAAATATTTCATTCATTTTAGAAGATAACAATTTCACTTGTTTAAAACAACATATTCAACTCATTTCAAACAACAGATCTTGGTAATTCCTAAATCATTGATTTCATTTAATTCAAAACACTCATTCCACTCAACTTGGAAAAATAATTTCGTTTATTTCAAAGAAACAATTTCAACAATTCCACTCATTTCAAAAAATGTTTTTACTCATTAAACTATAATTTATCAATAAAAAAAGCTGATTTATCTAATTTTAAAACACTGATTTCACTCATTCCAGAAGATTTATAATTCAGGAGTAGGTGGCGAAGGCTACTTTTCTTTTATTGGTATGGCTATTAGCAAGGAGTTTCAAGCTTTAGTACTTTAAGTTTTCCTATTTTAGCTAGGAATGAAGATTCACTCATTTTAGATAGCAGATTTCATTCATTCAAATTTCTTTCAAACACATGATTTGCTCATTTCAAATGAATAATTTGAGTAAAGTCGAAAACAAATTTCAGTCATTGGTCTTCTTCTAAGCAGCTGCCCGCACTAAAATAAATTGAGTGAATAAGTTAACTAAAACATTGAAATTTAAATGTGTTTGAATTGTATCCAAGATCTTGTTCTAAAGGTATTGGCCCCAAGAGTTCAAATATATATTTTTAAATCGGAAACAGAATTTTGCTTTAAGAGATATAGATCATCTAAATTGTCA